CCCAGGCACTGTGGTGGGTGCCCATAGTCCCAGTTACTTGGTGAGGCTGAGGCAAGACAATCACTTGAGCCCAAGAGTTTGAGGTTGCTGTGAACTATAATGCCATCGCACTCTACCAAGGGTGACAAAGACTATCTCAAAAGAATAATTATCTCGTGGCCAGGTGTGGTGGCTTACACTTGTAATCCTAGCACTTTGGGAGGCTGAGGCAGGTGGATTGCCTGAGCCCACAGATTCAAGACCAGCCTTAGCCAGAGCCAGAGCGAGACCTTGTCTCTATAAATAGTCACGTGTTGTGATGGGCACCTGTAGTCCCAGCTACTTGGGAGGCTGAGGCATGAGAATCACGAGTCCAAGAGTTTCAGGTTGCTCTGAGCTATGACGCCATGGCACTCTACCAAGGGTGACAAAGTGAGATTCTGTCTCCAAAAAAAAAAAAAATCTAGTTATGCGTTTATCTTCCCTATTACTACACTCTGGGCTCCCAGAGAATTTATTTACCTGTGGAGCTTCAAGGCCTAAGTCTAGACTTAATAAGGAATAGGTATTAGTTAATTTTAGTTGAATTGAAGAAACTTCCCACAACCTTCACAGTCCAAACCTTTAGAAATGGGTAACCTCTGTCTGCTTTCCTGGTGCACGTGGTCTTTCTATTCTGGATGTACACACTCTTCCATTTTCCCAGTGGTAACTACCAACCCTCCATCCATTTAATTCCTATTCTCCCCTCCCAAAATTTCCCATCTGCTAAAATCAACTTAAGGCCAAAACTTTTTAATTTCTAACCTGAAATTTCCATTGAATCATTAGTTTTGTGACTAAAGTGGGAGGTAGGAAATAATGTAGTGTAGTACAGAGAACTTCAGCTCTGGTGTCAGGAAAGACCTAGGTCCATATCCCATCCTACCCCATCTGCCAGTTTATGATCTTAGGCAAATTTCTTCATTTCTCTCAGCCATGGTTTTCATATATAAAAAATGGAAGACTGATTTATTCTCAGATTTGCTTTAGGTTAGATGACTCCAGAAGCAGACCTAATTTGAATGCAAATATTTTATTTGGGAAGTGATCCAGGCCATGACAAGGATTAATAATGCAAGTAAAATGCCTAGGGTACAGAAAGTAAAGATATCCTCTTAAGTTCTTGCAAGTGCCAACCCTGCACTTGCACAAACTCAAGAGCAAGGGCTCCTACATCATTCCCAGTCTAGATCAAGGAAGCAATGAAGGGAAGCTGGAAGCAAGGCAGGAAGGGAAAGAAGCCAATAATTAAGTTGCTGCTGTGAGATATGGAGGTTCAATCCCACAGAACTCTGAAAGACAGGTAGAATCTGCCTCAGAGTTGTTCCACTTGACAGGTGAGGAAGCTAGGGTATTTATCTTCCCACTTCCATTTTCACTGGCTGAGTGCTGCATTGAGGGCACTAAGTCCCTGGCACTCTTATCTTATGCCAACACAAGCCAAGAGAAGTTCTTAGGCAAAGAATCACAAGTACATACTATGTTTCCCTGAAAATAAGACCTACCCCCAAAATAAGCCCTAGCTGGATTTCTATGCATTTGTTAAATATAAGCCCTACCCTGATAAGACCTAGTGCATTTAGGTGTGGAGAGGAAGACATCCCCTGAAAATAAGCCCTAGTGTGTCTTCTTGAGAAAAAATAAATATAAGACAGTATCTTATTTTCAGGGAAACACGGTAATTAAATAGGACTCTGTGGGTGTATAGTACAATAGTGAGTGTCCAGGGGAAATGGACGAGGCACAGCCTCTGCTATAAGGATTAAATGAAGTAATATAACCACAATGTCTGACATAGCAAAATACCCTTTTTTTTTTTTTTT